CACGCGGAGGAGAGCCTTCTCGGTGGCCGCCCCGACCCTCTGGAACGATCTCCCCGAGGAGATTCGTACCCTCACCACCCTCCAGGCCTTCCGCACAGCCCTTAAAATCTGGCTGTTCCAACAGGCCTGGGGTTAAAGTTTGTAACCCACCCGAATAGTAAGAATGTTGTGCTTTTAATGATGTATTGTTCTTATGTGTAAATTGTTTGTTTCCCCCTCCTTTTCGAGTTGTAAGCCGCCCTGAGTCCCCCCAGGGAAAAGGGCGGCATATAAATAAATTACTCTATACTCTATACTCTATATGCTTTGTACTCATTTAACCAATAGCCCTCTGAAGGTCTGTTGTTAAGCTCTCTGAAAATCCTTGAGACTACTTGGGGTTCAGGTAACCTTGAGGGTATAGATAAACCCTCAAGTGGCCTCAAAGACTCTCAGAGAGCTAATAGCCAACCTCCAGAGTACTAAACTGACGAAATGAACTGAAGAAGCTTCTTGGATGAGAGATGAAATGTTTTCAAGGATTTTTTATATATATAAAAATCCAGTTGCCTTTTGAAATGTATCTTTGGGACAACCATGACCTGGATGTTTGAAAATATCCATTGACATAAGGACTCTAGCCTACTATTCAATACTTCAGTTCATGTTTGCTTTTAATAATTTTTAATAATATTGAAACATATCTCTCATAATGCAATGCAGCAATGATACAAGTAGAGGCCAGTGGGCTGTGGGAACCGAAATTCATACATATGGAAGGCATAAAGACTTGGGAAAGCTGTGGGGCCAGTCAGATAAAGTGTCATCTATTACAAAGGCAGGCAACTGCTTCTTGGTAAAGGGCTACATATTTATAGGAATCATCTAGTTGGAAGTCAACATATCAATCATTTGAGAGGTTTGACAGGATGTTCATCAATTTTTGGAATGTGTCTCTGTCATGTAGACCCTATTTAACTATATAATGTCATTTAGCCTTTCTATAAGATGAGAGGTAGAGCTAAGAAGGCTTTAGAAGGAGGCACTGTGTTGTTAGATTTCTAGCAACTGTTTGGAATAGAAATGGAAGAAATGGTTTGTTGGACAGTGTGAAATTGCAGTGCACTGCAGTATGTCTGTGGGATGGAGGACAGAAGGATTTAAAGCCTGTAAAGATGATTCAAAGATACATACAGCTATTCAGAAATCCAGGGGCTGAAGATCCCAAAGAGAAGTTAAGAGCAGCCTGGGACAACAGAAGAAATTTCTGTCTTTGTGAAGGAAACCGAAAGCTGATGGGTAATGGGGAGACAGCAAATAATGCAAAACCCACTTGGCTAACTAAAAGTAATAGAATATTCCTATACAAAATATAACGGAATAAATTGTAAACAAAATAATCCCCTTGTTAATAAATCATGGAAAACAATAGCAAAAAGAACAAGCAGAGATAAGCAGTGTAAGAAATAGAGTAGAATACCTAAAAGTAACAGAAGACGAAAATTAGAATTCCTAAAGTAACAGAAGAACAATTTAATGAAAATAGGATATTTGTAATACAGACACAATAGTCCATGAAATACTGGAAATGTATGATAATAGTTTATTTTGTTAGTAGGTTCTCTACAAGTTGATTTGTGTGTGCTGCCCAGTTTGCTGCCATCACAAAATTCAAGCCTGTAACAAATGATGAATGAAACCAAACCAACTACATTTTTCTGGTTGACACTCCTCTATTTTTTTTTCTTCTCAGTGGTATCTCAGTGTCTTGGCATTCCATTTTTCATCTGTCTGTTTTCCTTTTTGAGAATGAGCTGCTTTTTAAGGGTTGTTCTGCAGACAGAGCCTAAATAGGAAATCACTAAGCATAAATACAAACACCAGGTGCTCATGCACTACAATGCTTGTTGCCCATTTTCCTATTCATTCAGATAAGAAATATGACAGATATCTCTACATTATTACCATCCTATTAAAACAATCATATTTGGGTGAGGAATAATATATTTTCTTTTTAAAAATGTCAAAATTTAATATACAAGAGATGTAGAAATTACTCAGAAGACAGTTGGGTGATCATGGTGCCAGTACCAAGCAGTAAAGTATATGAAATATACTCAAATATGAAAATATTTGATGCTTACTTGTCAAATACTATAGAAGATGTTATCTTCAGATTACATAGTGTTCATTAAGCACTAAGGACAAATTCTGTTTTTTTCTGGTTAATTTATAAACATCTTACTTCTTTTCAAATGAATATAACTGAATCGGAATTAATTTCTTTCAGGATGGTCTCTTTTCATTCTTCACTGTT